TTACCTCAAATCAAAGTCATCCAACTAAGAAACAAGGAGTCAAAAGCCATAAATCCATACACTAAAATCAAAGGAAAGGGGTCTACTTCAAATAGAAACAAAGATTAATAAGATACAAAATAAATACTCGCCACAGCAAACAAAATTCAAAATTAAAAAAATCGCGTTTTCCGGCTATTTTCGAAGGTAAACAAGAATGTTACAGCACAGAGCATAACAGAGGGGGACACCATCGATGTTGATATTTTAAATTGTTAGTCTACATCTCTGCCAACCTTTTTTCTCATCAAAACATCAAATTTACGTTTTCCTATACAAAATTCTCACGATGGTTATCATAGCCCCGTGGCCAACATAACCCCGGTCTCCCCTATAGACGAAATTTAAGGTTTTAGGTATTTTTCGACGAATGTTTGTGGAAATTGGTAAGCTGGGGTATATTTCTCGGGGGATCTCGAATTTTTGGTCGGATTTTCAAAATCCAAGATGGCGGCCGTGGCCTAAAATGCTAAGTCGGCTCCTGTTTGATCGGTTTTCGTGAAACCCGGTATCCAGGGGTATTTTTCGACGAGAAACTCGAATTTTCGGTCAGATTTTCAAAATTTCCAAATCCAAAAGATGGCGGCCGTGGCCTAAAATGCTAAGTCGGCTCCTGTTTGATCGATTTTTGTGAAACTCGGAGATCTAGAGTACTTTTCGACGGGGAACTCGAATTTTTGGTTAGATTTTCAAAATTTCAAAATCCAAGATGGCGGCCGTGGCCTAAAATGCTATATATCGCTTCCTGATATCGATCGATTTTTGTGAAATTCGGTATTAGGGGGTATATTTCGACGGGAAATTAGAATTTAAGGTCCGATTTTCATAATTCAAAAATCCAAGATGACGAACGTGGTCTAAATTGCTATCTTGGCTTCCGATCCATCGATTTTTGTGAAATTCGGTATTAGGAGGTGTATTTCGACGGAAAACTCGCATTTTCGGTCAGATTTTCAACATTTCCAAATCCAAGATGGCGGCCCCGCACGAAAACGCGGTCCGGACTCCTAGAACATCAATTTCTGTAAAACTTGGTGAAAAAGAAGATTAAGACATAGATGTTGTCTCCTCATCAATGTTAAAAACTGTGCGGGGCGGTGGCGGCTCGCGGAGCGAGTCGCAAGTTCGTCGCAAAGCGTAGAACTGGGGTCCAGGGGCACTCCCCGGCTAGACGTGTCAGCTCGCAAAGCGAGCTAATCACGACTAGTATATGTATATATTTATGCTGAAAACACATCTGGGGAAAGAAAGGCTTACACGTTTAAAATTAAAACCGAGACGTTATTCGTCCAAATTCTTGGACATTTTCAATCGATAAAATAAAGGTTAAAATACAGTCGTCTATCAGACCGGAGTAGCGAGGCACTTCGTCTCGGTTTTAATTTTGAATGTGTAAGCCTTTCCTTCCCCAGATGTGTTTTCAGTGTATTTATTTTGGGCTACGTTAGATTCACTTTTATTTATATATTTTTTTATGTATTATTGTATATATTATTCTACCTCTCCTTCTCCATTGCTAATAGCTATTGAATGCTCTGTGTATATATATACACTTATTTTTGGGGGAGGTAGTAACTGAAAAATTGAGCCTCCGATTTTTAGAGGCCATATTAGGTATCTATATATTTAATATCCTAAGGCCTTTTTTGGCCTCCAACAGTTTGTGTTAATTCGATCTCGGAAACTACTGGACCGATTTTCCTCGGATTTGTTTTAAATGAAAGCTCTTAGGCTGTAGACGTGCCAACATTCCTTGGTTTTTCGATTTGCGCGACCGACGTTGCAATATTTACCTTGATTTGATAACGACATATTTGCATTTTTGACGCTGGACAGTTTGTGCTAATTCGATCTCGTCTATATATTTAATATCCTAAGGCCTTTTTTGGCCTCCAACAGTTTGTGCTAATTCGATCTCGGAAACTACTGGACCGATTTTCCTCGGATTTGTTTTAAATGAAAGCTCATAGGGTCTAGATGTGCCAAGACCCCTTCGTTTTTCGATTTGCGCGACCGAAGTTGCAAAATTTACCTCGATTTGATAACGACATATTTGCGTTTTTGACGCTGGGCGAGTCATATGGTTGGGGGACCTCCCACCCTCTGATTTTCCGTTTCCCTCTCCACGTAAACCCATCCCTACCTGCTCACAACACGTGTCACCCTTCTACCCTAGCATGGGTCCTACGGCAGTTTCACTCATGTCGGGGGTCGGCTCATGTCTTCTTCCAAGAGAATTGGTGATTTATCCTCACCCTTTCGCACCGTTACATTTTCAAAAAGTGTTCTGATTTTCTTTTCCAGGAGTGTTATTTATTTTTCAAGGTTGTTTCTTTTTCTAAAAGTAGGTAATTTTTAGTTTCCTATTCTTTGTTTTTGAATTTTTCATTTTGCCTCCAGGAAGTCCTCTAAGCACTGGTAGTAGCAAAATTTGGCTCGCGAAGCGAGCCAACAGTTACTCGCGGAGCGAGTAACTGGGGGTCCAGAGGGCTTGCCCCCGGCTAGCGGCGCAAGCGAGCGTAGCGAGCTGAAGCAGCTAGTAGTAGATTAAAATGGTAATAATTTTTTTGTACCACTTCAGAGGCAATAGAAACAGGCAAGAGAAAATCGCTGAAAATTTAATGATAATAATGCGTTTATTAACCTTTCTGTTGCCTCTTAGGTGGTACCAAACGCGACCATTGCCAGATAATTTTCAAAGCTCCTTTTTCAAATTTGAAAAGTCTTTGAAAATTTAAGACCCAATTTTCGCCTAGCAAGCATATTATTAAAAATATTTGACGAAAATCACTGCAAAGTCTATATAAAACGTGTCAACGACCTTGATATTAGTATCAACACTGCCTAGCAAAATATTTACTACAGTCTCTTTATGTCTCTTGAAAAAGCTTTTTAAAAGAAAATTAATGGGAAGTAAAAATGAAGAGATTTAAGCCATATCAAGCGATTCAGCTGAAGTATATGCTTAATTGTGGAGTCTTCGACTTTTGCAGGAATGCAATTTTTTTCATTAAAAATTCGATAAATTTATCCATTTTTTGCAATTAATGATTATTAATAATATATAAGGTATCGATACAGTCTGCATACCTCGATGTTTACTTAATTAAAAACAGCAGCAATTGGCTTGAAATAAGTAAACGCGCCTCGGAGTTATGCAAAACCTATTCCGGCCGGACGCCCGGCCGTGGCAGCCGTTTACTAATTTTAAACCAACCGGCAGCTTGTAACCAGTGAACGCGCACGAGAGACAAGCAACCGTTTCCTGATTTTAAGTACCTGAACGGTTGACTTAGATCAATATCACAGTTACTCCTTTTAAACCGAAGGTGATTACTTGATTTCAGGAAATATTTTCGCGTCTCTGAATGATTATACTCGTTAGTAAACGTTTTCTTATTCCAAATACACGTGGAATGCTGGTTTGAGGTAACGCATTTACTTGATCCAATCAAACTATGTTGTTTTGGAACAAACTTCCGATTCTTGTCGATACTTTGTAAGTAAACGGCTTACTTGGTCCAAGGCGGCTCCGCCTGATATGTAGGAAATTTTTTTTCAGTGCATTATTCTTCGCTCTTATTTCTTGCAGAATATGTTTTAATTTCTTTTTCATTGCATATAAACGTATACCATCATCATGTACGCAGATTAACAGGAGTCTGCATATTATAACACTGGCAAAACTTCCTGACAAAAAAGTCACTTCACTATTCAAGTGATTATTCATTCTCAGTATGGAAATGACGGAATATTGATCCACATTTACTATTGCTCTGAAATTAAAAGCCAGGTGGTCTATGTTTTGAACGGTGCATATAATGTGCCAGCATAAACAAATCGTTCGTTTTCCGACGAATGTATGAGAATTTTACTGACAAAAGAATATAGGGAAATTGATATGAGCAACAGGAGCTCTCTCGATAGGGCATGCTGGTGAAGAATAGTACTTTTGTCTTTTAAACAGTACATATAAAATATTAAAATAAGAATTGCCGATTGATTTTCATTCTTTTTCATATAAAAATTAATACCAATCCTATTATTTTAGATTCTAATCTGGTTTTGAAGTTCATCAAAGGCCCAGCCGAGGCTATAGGAGGCTTAATTATAGGAACATTGTGGGGCATTTTGGTGGGATATCTTCCTCATCAGAAAGAGGTAGGTAATTGTTTTTTTTTTCTATCACCCTGGTAGCATAGACAGTTAAAGGACCACGCACGAAGAACTGAGAAATTTGGCGGCGGTTAAATTTTGAGAATTTTTGATCTGATGTTCCTCACGACCACCTCAGTAAGGTGAGGGTTTAAAAGTGAACTTCCTAAGTATGTGCTAATATTGTGGAGGACGGGTCTGAAAATTTCATTTTTTGGCAGTTCGACGCGCAGCAAAAAAAATGATCATAGAGCGAGTACCTCTCTCCTGGCTCCTATCATTTCGGCCTGCTGGGAGATAGGGTGGTAGTTAAAAAGGAAACGGTTTATTTTTCCACTGTTCGTTAATCCACGGCATTTCGAGAATCCGTGAAACTGTTGTTGCGTGGATCAACGGGATGCCATTTATCCACAAAGGCAGCTTTCTAAATTTTTTGTTCATTTGTCCACAGAATAACACATACATTTTCGTGAGTCAATGATGTCTCGTGGATCCCTTATATTCCAGTCAATTCAGCTCTAAATAAGGGTCATCTGGGAAAATCTGTTGGTAAATAGACGGTTTTTTTGCGGGAACATGTTGTAATAGGCTACCAGAACAACAAATCAAAAGTTTACCGAAATCGGCTGTCCGCTAAGGCCGCCATCTTGAATAAAGGGGGAGGGCCCAAAATACGCCGCCGGCGACCGGTTTTTACCTTATATCTTGAAAAATATCAATCTTACGGACAAATGTCAAAGTACCTTTTAAAAAGAGCATAAAATGTCCTATTAGAAACACTATACATTTCGACGGTGTAAGTCGGCAATCACATAACTCATTTGCGGTGTCTGAAAATCTCCGCCTCTATGGTATTTTTTTAAAGAAGAAAAAATTGACATCATTATTCCTTGCGAAGTTTTTGCAGAATTTTCCTCTCACAGAGAGGAAAAATCACGGCAGTTTTAAAGAATTACCGGTGATTAGTTTTCCGTTAAAAAATAAAGTATGACAGGATGTCTGCGACGTCGCAAACCGAGTTATGTGATTGCCGACTTACACCGTCGATTTATCGAATTGTGACTTCTGGTTCGTGAGATATGGCGGTAGTTTCCTGCGGCTAGGAAAGTCAAATCTTGCGCGAAATCGCGTTTTTTCAACGAAATCTGCAATTATCTTAAGAGCGGCTAGTTTGAGGCAAAAAACTGCAGTGATCGAAATAAAAGAGCATAAAATGTCCATGCTGGTTATGCTCATACAGGGTGATTCAAAAGTCCCTTCCACCCCCTCTAACTTTTTACCTAATTGAGGTAAAGATTTGAAACTTGGGGGATAATCCTAAGTCAAAGGGAGCTACTTTTTTGCCCCCCTAAAATTTATAGGGGGCTCCCCTAGGGGGGCAACGGACACCAACTTTTAATTTTCAACTGGAAAGACCCCCTTTGTGATAGCTTGTTCGAAAGAGCATAAAAAAAGAAAACTTTTCGCGCAAACCCGAAGTCAGTATCTCAAACCGTTTCAAAATGGCGGCCGGTTAAAGTTCAAAATGGCCGAAAATTCACACCGGTCATTTGTCAATGGATTTGCGCGGAAATCGGTATGTAGGGGTATTTTGACACGAGAAAAACGAATTTGACGTTACACGGAAAAAAAGACCTGTCATTTTAACAGTCACATTGAATGTTAAATTTGTTTGACGTTTCTCTGTTCTTTTAGTTGTCGTGACTGCTAATATAACATTTTAAGTATGTTGAAACAAAAGTGTGCAACTCTGTTAGCTCAACATCTTAATGATGCTTTTTAAATAACATTCTGTATGTTATTCCATCATTACACGACTGCTGAGTTAACGTCAGGGTGGTTCATTAAATCAACAGTTCCTGAAGCTCTTGGAATGACTGTCATTGACATTTGATTTTACAGTCCACGCGTTATTTTGACATTCGTTTGGATTTTAAATTATTACACTCTTGCAGGTTTTGGTCTAATGTTTTGAAGGCCATTAAATTCGCAGAAATAATCTGCTAAAGCAACAGCGAGGGTGTCGAAATAGCAGCCTCTCATTTAACAGCGAGTTGACAGTAAAATGCTGACCGTTGCACGGAGCATCCTATCCCAGCCAGTCCCGCGCGATCGGCGCAGCGCGCATGCGCAGTTGTATACAGTTGTCGATCGCCCCGCTGCGAGCGGTGACGCAGAAAATCTCTCCTACCCTACCCGCCACTGTCCACCCTCCTTCTCGAGGGTTGCGCGCCAACCTGACAAAGGGCCCGGTCGGGGAAATTCTCAGAACTCCAACCGTCCGGGCCTGGCGTTCGGCTGTTTCTTCCTTCGACATTATTGTTCGCGCATTCCAGTCTGCTCGCCATAGAATAATAAGGCTACTCCCACCCTTCGAGTTAGGTTAGGTTAGGTTAGCTTTATTATTCTAAGGGCCGTTCCTGTCAAACTGGGTGTTAGCTGCTAGTTGATCAACTAGTAGTTGAGGCGAACTACCAGTTCAGCGGAGCCGGGTGTCTTGTGACGAAATTTCAACCTCTAGTTCGTCAACTAGCGTTCAACAGGCTGTTGACTGATGAGTGTCTGATTGCAGTACTACTCTTTTCCAAAACATGCAAGAAAAAAGCCATTTCCGGTCAATCGGCAGCCATTATTTTACAGAAATCACGTCACTCGTCGTGTGTTCGTGTTCGACTCTCGACTCCGAGGGTAGGGAACAACTTCCACAAAAGGGCGAAGGAATTTTTTTGGAAAATTGGGGAAATATAACTTTTTTCGGACCTTATGTGATTCCTGCTGAGATTAATATTGTTAGATTTTATTTTTATATGTATGCAGAGTTGCTAAAAGACATTTCATCGAACGAAATTTCGTGAAATTTCACAAGAAATCACAAGAAATTTCATGAAATTTCTTTTTTCCTCATGAAATTTCTTTCGACCGACAAAATGTCAAACATTCTCTCTCAGATTCAAGAAATGTAAAATACCTGCCTACTTACCGATCTCAAAATCTAGCACTGCGAAGTTCAAAAATACAGGTACTCTACTTGTGTATCAAATATTTCCTATTTAAAAAAAGAAATACGTTAGCGAAGGAAACTGTTAATTCCTGAAAAATCCATTAAATTGTTTCAAGGATAGTTTAAGATCCCTCCCTCCCTTTTGTACCAAGAAATAAGGTGAAACTATTAGGGGGTACTAGAATTCTTTATAGTCAAGAAATTTGTTTTGTTCCAAGTATGAAAGCTATAACGTTTTACTCTATCCGTAAAATTTATTTTGATGTTCAACTAGTGCGGCTGTGTGTTCAACCAAAATTTGAGAAAAAAAATTAAAATTACCTATATATGTTTTTGCTGTTTTACTCAACTTTCTGGACATTTCTAAAGTTCCCTTTCACAGTTTACCACGTGTGTATAAAGAGACTTAAGGAGATTCATAAGTTTCTAGGGTTTAATCCTGAATTCTGTGTGTTAAATGAAATTTCTTGAAATTTCCTCATGATATTTCTTTTTATAATCTTTCACGAAATTTCTTAACTCTGTATGTATGTGAATGTTGCAAGATTCTGGGGAGGGGGAACAGAATCCTTCCAAATGGCACCCTTCAACGATACCAGTGTTTTTCTCATGACATTTGATTTTTTTTGTTTTCGCTTTAAGCATCAAACAGAGTCATCAGTATTTTTAGAAACTTCATGAATTATTCCATTGGAACAGTTTGAGTTTTTAAGAAATATGTAGTTAAAAACAAATTGTGTATCTGAAAATGGTTGACGAATGAAGAGTTATAAGGTTATAGGTTTGGTATTTTTTCAGATTTCCAATTACTGAATTACAGCAAAGACAGGAACTATATTTTTGTTCTGGAATTATATGTTTGCTAAGTAAAAGTATTGATATCAATATTCTGTCAATTGGCGGCGAGAAAATCCAATTTTTCCAATTTTTCATATTTTTCACAGGTTTGTGAAATTTCATGAAATATTTCACTGAAACTTCCAACCTTTCATATTTTTCATTTCACGCTTGCAACCCTGATCATGGGCTCAATTTGGACGAGTAGCAAGGCCACTGTTTCTTTCTTCAGGCGAAACCGCATGAAAAATTGAGGTTCGCTCAATAAGTCAAAATAATTCACTTGGCCCTTCGGAGGGCAGGTCTCCGTGGAATGTATACATACTCTTCCTCGTCATCTGAGGGGCTGACGAACTCATCATAGAGAGCCAACATTTTCAAACTTAATTAGAGAAACTCAAACCATAAAATTATTAACGAATATCGCAAGACAGATCACGCCAACAACCGTAAGAACCAAAACATAACATCCAGTGTGAAAAAAGTGAGGTTATAAAATGGTCTCAACCTCAAGTTGAAGACTCGACAGCCAGAAAAAGTAGCAGTTGAGTAACAGACGGTCAACGGGAACTCAACTGATGGTTGAAAATTGACAAGACACGTCAACCGGTAGTTGACGGTCAACAGCTACTCAACTGGTAGTTGACGCTTGTGACAGGAACGGCCCTAAGCTGCTCGCTGAGGCCATGGCGGCCATGTCACTGTTTAAAGGGATTGCGTTTGCTCAACAGTGAATGGTTTTGCGCCAGAGAAGTCTTGCGCTTGCGTTTCGAAATCGTGCTCAAATTTTGTTTGCGAGTGAATTTTGGCGGAGAAAGTGATTAGTCTTTGCTCAGTGCGCGATCTGCAAAATTAGTTGCTCCGTAGGAAAGTAACTCTTATGATACCTATAAGCAAATTTCGGCACACTGGAATCAGTTGCGGACAGACGCCATTGTTTAAAGCATCATTATGAATCCATTCAACTCGAAATTTCTTCTGCTTTATATTTGTGTTTTTTGGTTTCAACTTCACCATTGACATTACACGCATTCTCAACTCAATTAGGTTTGCGTCCAGTGCATCCAATTATTATTTTTAGCGTGCCTTACATATTTATATGCAGGCACTCTTTTGATTTCGTTTCATGTAGATTATACCATCAGCCCTGTCCTCGATACTTTCCGAC